AATCCGAGAAACTTCCCAAACTCAACACCAAAGACACACTTCTTTGGATTGAGATGACCTTGTGCCGCCTGAGTGTGGTGAAGGTTTCTCGGAGGTCAGCAAGATGGTCCGTCTGTAGCTTGGATTTGACTATCATGTCATCAATGTACGCCTCTATGTTTCTTCCGATTTGATTAATGAAGACCGTATTAATCATTCGTTGGAAAGTAGCAGACGCATGTTTCAAGCCAAACGGCATCACAGTATAACAGAATAACCCCTGATCAGTGACGAATGCCTTCTTCTCTTGATCTTTCTTCCACAAGGGTATCTGATGAAAGCCTGAATAGGCGTCCATGAAACTCATCAAGTCATATTCGGCTGTAGAGTCGACCAGACTGTCAATCTTTGGAAGAGGATAACTGTCCTTCGGACATGCCATATTCAGATCAGTGTAATCAACACACATATGCCAGGTACTATTCGGCTTCTTCACAAGAACAACATTTACAACCCAATCTGGGAAGTGACATTGCCGAATGAACCTGGCGTCTAACAACTTCTTTACTTCGGCGGTTGCCGCCTGACTTCTCTCCTCGCCGTGATTTCTTGTCTTTTGCCTAATAGGCTTTTTTTTTATCCACGGCGAGCTTGTGGACAGCGAGATCCGGGGTGATGCTTAGCATCTCTTCCACTTCAAAGGCAAAAATGTCCTTAAAGTCCTTCAGCAGATTGTGCAAGTTTGCCCCCAATTTTGCAAAAGCAACCGTCCTAACCTATACAGTTCACTCCGGACGTGTATCATCCAGAGCGATGTCAATGTGTTCACCAGCCGGCTGGGGACGGAGGTTATTTGACCGTTCCCTGGTAGTGATTGCTATTGCTTTTCTTTCTTAACAGTCACACAATTGGTCGGCCTTTCTCTTCTTGACGCCTGCTGGTAGGGCAAACTCAGGTTCCTTGACATTGTCAAGGTCTATTGGCTCCACTCCCTGGTAAGGATGTTAGTGGGACGGGTTAAATAGGAGACCCGCCCCATCCCCGCCCCAACGGGGCGGGGATGGGTCTTGGTTTGGCGGGTGATGGGGCGGGGATGGGGATAAAAACCATACCCGCCATGGGTGATGGGGCGGGGGTGGATTTTAGGTTGTACCCGCCCCACTTCGTACCCGCCCCATCCCCACCTACCCCACTTCGTACCCGCCCCATCCCCACATCCATATATTTTTAAAAACAAAATTATATACTTTTATACTATTTTATAAAAAAAATTATGTAAAATAAAATAGTAAATATAATACTTTGTAATACACTTAAATTATAAACAAAAAAATGTGTAATATTAACAATAATTTTTTTCTTTTTGCAATCTTTATCAATTATGAAGGATTTTGTATTTGGGAGGCGGGGATTTGGCGGGTCTTATGTGGGGATTAGGTGGGGGTGGATATCTAAGTGGGGGTTGGGGCGGGGATGGTTTTGGAATTGTACCCGCCGGGGCGGGGATGGGGATGAATTTTAGACTTGCCGAGGGGATGGGGATGGGGATGAAAATTTTAGATGGGGATGGGGATGGGAAGGCCAACATCCGCCCCACCCTGCCCCATTGACATCCCTACTCCTTGGCCAACTGTTGTGGGCTTGACGTCCAAGAGATAGCACTCTTGGGTCGTCTTCTTGTCCCCATTTAGGGAGCCAACAAAGCCATCATCTCTTTCAAACTTCAGCAGCATGAGGGATGGAATAATGACTACCTTAGATTCGTTTAGAGTCGGACGGCCTATTACCATGTTATAGGCGGCCAGCTCTTCTACGACCAAGAACTGAATGACCATATTACACCCTTTCCCCCTCTCTCTTAGCCGGATGGGCAGATCAATGTGGCCGACTGGGTGCACAACTCCACCCCCAAAACCAACCAAGGGGTGTGAGACCTTATGCATGCTGCCTGGCTTGTACTTCAGCTTGGACAGACAACACCAACTGATAATGTCCGAGTTGCCTGTGTCAATAAGGATCCGAATAACCTTTTGATTGGCCACCTTACATTCAATGATAATGGGGTCATCATGCGGCCAGTAGACTTCGCCGCGGTCCTTTTTGGAAATGATGACCTTAGGAAAGGTGTCGGCAGACGTTCGGCCTTCATCAACCAAGCTGACGTCCATCTGTCTGACATGGTCCTTGGTGCCTCTGATAGTTGGGCCCCCATAGGCAAAGTCGCCTGCAATGGTGCAGATCATGTCCGAATTAATGTCCGAACCACTATCAGCCTTTGCTGACTTTTTTGACGGCTGCTTGGGATCCGTCTGTAGGGTCACCTTGGACTTGAGGATGTAGGACTTCAGCACCCCCTTATCAGCCAATCTATCCATCAACCGTTTGAGGCTATAGCAGTCGTTCGTGTCATGGCCAATAACCTCATGGAAATGGCAAAACTTGTTTTTGCTCCGGTTTTTGGCCGGACCTTTCATAGCTGCGGGCTTCTCAATAGTCACCTGGTCTTTTATCTCCATGAGGATGGAGTAGCAGTCCTTGTTAAACTCGTACTTAGGGACGTGCGGTTTAAACTCTTTCTTTTTCTTTTTGAACAGCTGATCAGAGTCCTTAACCGCCCAAACTTCTTTTCTTTTCTTTCTCTCTTCAGCTTTTTGAGCCGGCTGATCCTGCAGACTCCCTTTTTGTTTGTCAGACTTCTTTGAGTCCGACTGCTTGCTGGTGGAGCAGAGTTCGGTCGCTTTTATATAAGCTTCTACCTCCATCAGTGCCTCTTGAAGAGTGGCGATTCTCTTCCGGACGAGGTCAAACTTAAAAGTTGACCCGTCTTTCAGACCCTTGAAGAAGTCTGTATATGAAACATCGTCAGACAGTCCTTGGATTTGGATTCTCACCAGATTGAAACACCTAACATAAGAACGGAGCCCCTCCCTGTCTCCCTGTTGTACCACGCCCAAGTCAAGACTTGTCTTTTTGGTGGGTATATTCATGGAGAAGTTAGAGGCAAACAAGAACGCAAGCATCCTGAAATTGTTTATGCACCCAGGCGGAAGGTTACCGAACCACTGTTAGGCAATGCCCTTTAAGGTGGCTGGACACCATGCGGCATTATCCAACCCCTGTAAATACATAAGGTTGGTGTAGGCCATCATGTGGTCTTCAGGGTTGGTGGTGCCGTCATAGGCTCCAACCAATACATTCTTAACCTTGGTCGGATGTGCCGCCTCAGTTATTTTCTTGGAGAACGCAGAAGGTTGTTCACCAAGTTTTAGCCGACAGAGCTGACAGTCTAATGGCTGGACTTGATATGCCTCCTGACCCCCGAAGAGGGCAGGTTGCTGATATGGTTGGGCGAACGTCCTGTATGGTTGTTGGGGCACATCCGGGACCAAGCCTATCATTTGAGGACCTGTATGGACAGACGGGCCGCCTGACATGTTCTCATGTACAGATTGGGAATACTTCATCGAGGTATTTCTGAAGCTGTCTGGCATAGTCGACGTTGAAGCCAAGTCAGACAGTTGCTTGTTTCTCTTTTGCTCAATGATATATCGAGCATCAGAGTAAATCTTCTTGCTGTCATTCGGCTAAGTATACCGGATGGGCTTCCTCTTTCCCTGGTCTGGGAAGCGGAACTTGGACCAATAGATAAAAGGCCTGCCCCCCTCCTTTGTATTGGGATGGGGAGTGGGCTGCCTGTCTTTCACCGACTTGGCCTTATCAGAGTGGGAGGGCCTCTTTGCCAACTAACCCTTACTGGGTCCAACCGCTTTGTTGGAGATCAGGTCCTTCATCTCCTTCTTGAAGCTCGTCATGAATTCATGAACTTTTCTCGGGTGATGTGAGCAGCCTATCCTGCCGCCTGGGGCTGGCCGGTTGACTTTCTCTGACCCGCCTGATTAACGCCCCGTTCCCTGTTGTCCTTGGAACGGATGCATCTGGTTTTAAGGGATCCATCTTTGGCCGTGTATACTTCGACCTCTAGATCAGAATCTGTATCATGATCCTAGTGGACCTCTGCTTCTGGACGTTTGTCCTTAGGAGGCGGTATAGTCTCTTGACAAACCATCTTAGAGGTACTCTCCCCACAGACGACGCCAAATGTTTGGGGTTTTTTATGCGTCCAGCGGGAGAGTTACGTCACCAAGACTAGGTCCTCGCTGGCTATACCTGCAAACAAACGGAAGCTCCGGTTGTTCGGAGTTCCGACGAACAAGTTAGTACGTGTTCGGAGTAAAAAGCGGAAAGTAAAAGTAGATCTTCTCAGATCCCAAGATCAGGTGTTTTCTCTGTTGTAAGAGAATTGATTGTGATGTAATAAATGAATGTGTCCCCAAAATGGGGTAAATCTCTCTATTTATAGGGTCATTGGTAAATGTGGCCTTATCCAGGTCATTCTGACCTAAATTTGGTGGGCTGCACCGCTTTGCGACTTTCTTGGGAATTGGGTCCCGAAAACCGTCATTCCCCGATGAGTATCTGTATGCCACGTGTCAAATCCAAGTGAGTCCATTTGGACTCCTTTTAGGGTGACACGTGTCACACTCTCACTAGGCCACGTGGCGGGGTAAAAATCCCCAAATCAATTTTCTTAAACAATGGATTTAATTAGTAATCCACTTTTTTTTTTTTTTTTTGGCTTTCTCACCATCCAGACGACGTGTTTTGATGGCTAAATTTTTAAGTGCATCCCAAAACACGTTATTTGGGGGGGGGGGTTTAAAAAAAAACCTGACAGTGTGTCCTTAATGCAGGCCCACATTTTACTATTCATCAATCTTTTTGCTCATCCTATGAGCATTTTTGGTTGTTCATGAGCATTTCTCAAATTGCTCATTGGTGGAATAATAACTTTATTTTGCTTTTTGCCCAATACTTTTGCTATGAGCATTTTTTGGCACATCTTGTTAATGCTCTAAAAGGACACTAATTAATCAATTATGCAAAAGCGTATAGTCGCCTTGAGATAATGAGATAATAATGGCCAAAGAAAAAATCCACAAGTGAAATTTGCAAAAATACAATATCGCCCCTTGAATTTCAACTTTTTATTTGTAACAAGTTGCTACAATGTACAATTCAAACAACTCATTGATCAAGTAGCATTTCCAAGCCTTCTCAATCACAGCCAGACCTAAAACTTTAAATATTTTTTTGCCAATATAGAAAGCATAATCAACACATAAAACTTAGTAACAGATTACTTCTAGCTCAATATTGGCCAATTCATGGGCAGACTTGACTAATTCTATACTACTGTTACTTTTATTAAAGCATCAAGGAAAGAATAGCAATGACAATGGCTCTGATCTCCAGAGCACATGAGGAGGAGGAGCTTGCACAACACTGAAGCGCTCGAGATCGACAATATTGTTCTATATGCATATTGAATCCACCCCTGCATCACAACAGCTTAAGTTCAAACCACATCATAAAATAGACCTCGAGTGCAGCACGTACAGGCCGGCCACGAGAACAATTCTCATACTCTCCTCCATTTCTACTCCTATCTCCTTAGACAGAGTTTGTAACTTTGTGGTGTTTAGTCTTTACGTTCAACTAGGAGAGGTTTGAACGTTAACACCACACCTACGAGTTCTACCACATTGAGGAGGAAGAAGACCATGTGTGTGCCTGCATAATGCCATTCAGAACGTGAGTTAGCTTAGTTTACAATACAAAACTAGAGCAACTAACCAACTAGATATCTTAACCACTCCCTCCGTCCCAAAGTAATCTTTTTGTTACAACTCTACACATTGATTAGGAAAGGCGGTAATTATGTATGAATAAAGCTTGAAACTACAAAGTACGTAGTATATAATAATAAGAATATGCAAAATATGATGTTGGAATTGTAAGAGAAAAAGAGATTATAAAGTACACTATATAGGCATCAAAAGCTCTTTTAGCCTTTTACCACTTATAATCATTAAATGGAAAAAGCTTTTTAAATTAATATCGACATCAACATTCTGTTTGAAATCCAGCAAATTCTTTTTTTTTTTTTTTTTTTTTTAATGTTCTGTTTGAAATGCAGCAAATCCCAGTGAATAGGCCTCATTATTATGTTGGGACGTTACAAGATACTACCCCGTTTCTTAAAAGTTATCTACGGTTGCTATTTGCACTCAAATTAAGGCTGCTGGAGAAAGACCGTTGATTTGGTGAGTGTGTGTATGGAAGGGTGAATAGAGAGTGAATTAAGAGTTGGACAGGTGCAAGAAAAACTGAAAAAATGTAATGAGAGTGAGTGAAAAGGTGTAAATATTGCAGGGTAAGGTAGTACGTAGGGTTTGCCAAAAATTGAATAAATCATAAGGATTTTTTAGGAACAAACTTTGGAAGACATAAGAAAAAAAAAAAAAAAAATCAGCAATGAAACTATCTTGTGTTTCATAGGTAAGTCACTGCTTAAAGAACACTTGTATAGAAAAAGAGTGACACATTCACGATGTTCAATGCAGCAACAATATAACAAAAATGCACATACAGCTGAGCAGTACTCCGTATATAGAAATAATTCGTATAATTCTGTAGACTGTACCTGGGAGGAAGGAAGCATCTTGACGCTTCTCTGACCATGAAAGCCTGGAGATTACATAAACAAAAACACGATATAAGAAGAAGCACCATGCAGAGCTATCAACGACATACAAACATGTTAGATTAGCTCTACATATCCAATTACAATCTCACTTGAATATGAAGGTTTCTGCTAAATTAAAAAGATGCTGCAGTTGTGTACTACAAATTAAATAGCCTAGTGTAAAAATCTCCTAAATAACATGCCACATTTTAATTCTATTTTAAATTGTAAGAATATCCTTAAAATCTCCTTTAGAACAAGGCATTGAGCTAAGATCCAGTGTGGTAGTTATTTAATTGAAGGAATAAAATTTGTTCCTGAACCATACTTAAAGATTTTACCTCGCGCAGCTTCTCCCATGGATTATGCAATAATAATCAAAGGATTAAAGCATTCTTATTATGAACTGAGCCGAGTTAACAAATAATTTTTAGCCATAGTTCTTAAGCAAGAGCATTTGCTAGAATCAAGTGTCTTAAACCTGAACTGAAAGGAAGCTACTCCAAGCATTCTTTCATCCTCAAGGCCTCTTAAGGACACGCACCTTTCATCAAAGTTTCCAATAAAAGACTAACTGCGATGTGGAGTCTCGAGAATGAAAGACAGTACAGGGTAGTATAAGCACTGGAAAGGGGTGTGGTGCATGCTGCAGTAAACAAACTAAGAAACAAAAGAACTTACAATGCACCACCACAAGCTGGACCAATTGCTTTAAAAATAGACATGGCAGTCATAGAAAGGCCATTAGCAGCTCCACGTTGATCTTGCTCCTGTTTTAATTTACAAAATATTCATCTCAAGTGCATAGAGATCGAAATTATTCAGGTAATATAACTGTGCATGAGGAACAGTCAAGAAGGTCAAGGTACAATACCACAGCTCGGTTTTGCAGAATAAATGTGCTGGTGATGATGCATACCTGATCATAGATTACGAAATAGAATAGAATTAAGAAACTACCAAAGAGGAACATATATCTTCAACTATTACTCATACTAAAACTTAAGTTTTCTTCTTGTTCCCTATTAATTATTAGAGAAATTTAAATTGCATAGCGGATTAAAGATACCATATGTTGCTTGAATAAATAAGTGAAACAATGTTTGTTGGCTATACTTACTGATAAACAATTCTTGATAATAGAGGCAGAGTTTAAAAAGATGCTAAGGCTTAGCCCCGACAACAATGCAAGGAAAGGATAACTTTGTAACAGAGGTATTGACAACGCCTGCAAGAAGAAGAAGAAGGTAATGCTATCATACTCGCATTGGTCATGGAAAACAAGCATGAATAATCACAAGGTTCAAAAAAGCATACCCCACAAATTCGAGCAAACATGACAGGTCCTAAGAATTTGTTCATGTATGGATATAAGATGAGCTGAAAAACCATCATCCCAAAACCTTTGCAAGGAGACAGGAATAATGAATAATAAAAGAAATTAAGGTTAGTGCAATCTACTGAAGCAAAAACAATATTGAAGTCATTCATTTATACTTGTATATTGGCCAGTACATAAACTATAAGAAGTAGAATATTACACTCTTAAAAGTTAACTCTTCATTTGTAAACTATAGATGACTTTACGTACTTAGATGCTATAAAAATCAGACAAATAGTGTACTAAGTATATCTTCATAAATAACAGTTTGGCAAACAAAAAATAGATTGAACACTATGAGCAGTGTCGGATCCTGGAAAATGATGAAAAAAAAAAAACTGGAACTTCAACCTCTTGCCTATATTACAAAGCAAGCTAAGAAAACTGAACAATATACCATAACAATTAATATACATATAAGATTTGCCCCTAGGCCCTACTTATGAGTTTAAGCGTTTGAAAGTACAATAAGGTGAAAATTCAAAAGCAATGAATGGTTTCTCTATACCTGTAATAGAAAGAACAACACCTACATCTTCAGAAGAAAAGCTCAATCCTCCGAGTTTTCTTGGGCTTACTGCCCATAATGAGAATATCTATAGAAATGAGGATGTTTATAGTCAAGACAACTAATCCAAAACTGAAAAATAAAGATTACAACAAGTCAACAAAGATAGTTCATATCTACAAAATTGGACAACTAATCCTATACAGATATAGCTTGCAAATAATAGATGTTATACTAAAGTTGGTATAGAGATTATACATGCATCACAAAGAATTCAACAGAATAAACCCTAAACAACTTATAAGTTCGTGTTTATGAATTAATCGTTGTGGCCCTCATATATTATAATACTTCTATGATGATGTTAGCATTTGAGGTAATTTAACATGTCTTCTTGTACAAAATAGAAAATGAAATAAATAATCCAGATATTATATTGAGGGAAAGCAAGGTTTCTGACTTGGGATATACATTGTACTTCAAATTTATTTGAAGTTGAAGACTTCCTAGAATGCTGTCAAATAAAAGGAAATTTGCAAGTAATTGCTAAATTTTTGTGAGCAAGATTAATATTAGGAGAAAGATGAGTAATGCTTACCTCAGTGTAAGCCATATCATGCAGTGAGAAAATACAATACACAATAATAGAGGACATCAGAGGCCAATTTCTGAATAAGCTTTTCGTAGATACGTCAGCTTGTCCTTCAATTTCTTTCCCACTGCTCTTCTCATCTGCGCAGTTGCTTGCAGCTTCCAAAGCTTCATACGAATCATCTCCTGATAAATTCTTTGATTTGTGCATGTGTAATGACTCCTGTGCAGCGACACTACTAGTTAACTCAATTTGTTATGTCTATTGTGAAAGCTGAACTTTGAACTGAATAATTTTGTATGCATAACAAACTTTAACCTACCAATTCAAGTTAAACTAGTGAGAATAAATATATGAAAATTGAAGAAATTTACATATCATGGATTTAAGGGTTAAGGTCACACTTGAGAAATCATTATAATTTCTCTAGCTATACTTCAAAGATAATAGTAGGAGTAAATAACAAAGGTTTTAGAGAAAATCAGATAAAGGGACTAACCGGAAGCCAAAACGAACCAACTGTGATTACTGCTGCAAATGCAGACGTGATAAGGCAGGGCAAAAAGTATGGAAATCTGCAGCAAAACATACAAATTTGCATTGTTATAACATCTGATTGAACCAGATTCAGGGAGGATCATGAACACCTTTATTCAAAGCCATTAGCCCCAGGCATGTGAAAACTGACCTTCCAAACAATGACTCTGGCGAAAACATCTGAGGGTATTTTTCTGCAGGCTGAAGAATTAAGAAAATGTCTTAGATTGATAGCTTATTTGCATAAACAAGGGGATTTAAAATTCTTAACAAGAGAAGAATTTAGTGCAAAATGAAAGCTAAGTACCTTAAGAAGTACACCATGCAAACTATGAACTAGGGAGGATAAGGGTAAGGGTAGGTTAACACTAAGCCGTTCCCATATCTATACAAGGACTGTTAGTAGTTATAAACAGGACTAGTCTTTTGATATTGACTCTGGTTCATTTACTAAAGTGATCATATTCCAACTTCTAGTTATCTTCGCACCATGATTAGTGCTCTTTCCAATAGAAAAATCTAAAGAAATGTAATACACATCGGAGTGTTGCTCAAATCAAGCAGTTATACAAATCAACATGAGCAACATCTGTGATTCAACAATACACAGAGAGATGACAGCTTACCTGGGAAAGTAAACCTCCAAGTGCCGGCCCAATAATCAATCCTATACCCCAGGCTGTAGTAATCTGTACAAAGTAAAATGTATAACAGATTTGTTCCTAAACTACTTACTATTATACCAGACTTAGTTGGTGCAGGAATTGGCTGAAGAAGCTTACCATGGACATGCCTACAGCCTGATGTTCTTCCCGACAAACCTCTGATACATAAGCCTGCTCATAAGGAAAAACTAACTTACCTTGTTAAAAGAACAGGAAGTGATTAACATTTGAGAAAGGAAAAAAAATTCCTAATACTAGATACACAATACACAGTCAAGTACGGAGTAAGTCATTGAAAGAGCTATATGCAAAACAGCAAGCCTTACCTTAGCAGGCCCAAGTAATCCACACAAACTTCCTAAAAGAAATCTTGTTGAAACTGCCATCCAAAAATTTACACTCAGACCAAACATAGTGTTGAAAATCACCCTGAAATGTGACAATGACCACAACATTAACTAACGACTTGCACTGTTATTGAATTTGGGAAAAGAAAGCTGAATTAGAAATGGGGTAGAAGTGGAAGTAATTGGTTACTAACACAGCTATTGTTCCTATAATGATAATAGGCTTCCGACCATATCGATCAGCAAGTTTCCCCCAAATGACAGAAGTCAATGCCCGTCCAAACATGAAAGCAGATCCTTTAACATAAAAAAAGACACCATAAAGGATCAATTCTTTACCTTCTTATGAAAATAGAAAAAAATAAATAAATAAATAAATAAAAACAAGTATGCAAAAGAAAAAGAAAAAGAACTCTCACCAACAAAACCTGCATAATATCCCACATCTTCCTCTTGCTCAGCTATATGGAAATCTCTAATCTGCACGAACATATATATAGTTATTTACATACAGAACAATAATGCTAGAGACCACAATATCACACTCTTCAGACAAAAATACTGCTCCAAGTGAATTTAAAAATCGGCTTTATATATTTCACTCTTTCAGTCACTAGAAGAAAACAATGAGGACTGAACGAAACAAATTAATTTATTAGCTATTTATACCTCCAATGCTACATTATGAACAAAGCATAATTTCTTTTTCAATATCTGTAAATGGGGACGCTTCTTGGTAAACATTCTGCTATCAAATGATCTTCACATTACAACATATGGACAGATTTTTTTTTTTTGGTCTTAATTAATTTTTGGCAAAGGGAAAAGAAATTCGTCACTATCTTTCCAACGCGTTCCTAGCAAGGCTACAAAACCAAGCTGCAATGGGTAATATCAGAGGCTAACATTTATCTTGTTCCACCTTGTAGCCTTTAACACAGTATACTTTCTAGCTGAAAGCCTAAAACAGTCTTCCAGCCTTATGAGAAGCTTAAGATGCAACGGAGCCATGCTCCGGAATAGAATTCCTCATTATATCTATTGTAGTGCTTTCTTCTATTGACTAACAATTTTAATCATATTTTCAGACTTAGCAGAGTAGTGCTTCACAGATTAGCATGCTATTAGATTGTGAACTCATGGTTCTGTTAATCTTGGTACAAAAAACATCAAATTTAGCAACATTCATTTCTTACCATGAAGTAAAGGAATGGAAAGAGTGATGAAATTGGCAGAGCTGCACATAAAAGATACAGGGAAACGATCAGAACAGATTTTTCTGTAATAAAATATTTGAGACAAGACAATTGGTGCCAAGCAAATAGCATGGAACAAGCCAGCAAGGAATATAAGAAAAACGATTGCGTGTTATTATTCCTGAGTTCTATCATACTATTAGTGTAGAGAATGACAAGAACTTTCCATTATTCAATCATTTAGAAAATTGCAAATTGCAACTTATGAGCTTCACGTATTCAATCATAGAGAAAATGCAAATATTAGTACCTAAGGCTAGCTAAATGTTTGGTTTTAAACAAGGGTAATTTCTATTAGCTTTACTGAGTAGAATTAATAAAATAACTCTTCCAAGTCTCAACTACCAATACACTTATACAGACACTGTACCACCACCATTAACCCCTAACACCTCCGACGCCACTCAGCTCACCACCACAGCCATCAACGCCCTCTCACACACCCCCTGCAATGCTGCTGTGTTGGCTTGGTCTGACCTTAGTCCATAGGCATAGGATTATTCCACTAGAGTGGATTCAACCCGGCTAATCCAAGCCGAACTGCACTTTTTTTTTCCTTTTTTCTTTTGTTGTGAAGCATGTTAGCATGATGTTGGAATGTGTCTTTGTCAAACTTCAAAAAATTAGACTCAGAACAATCACAAATACACACTGCTCTAATGCTCAAGTTACTAGAGTTTAGCTAAGGTGTTCGTTGCACCAACAACAAATATTCAACATTTCCATTAAACTCCTGATTCTACATTCTCTCCCTAATCAACAACAACCTCATTGTACATATAACATAATCAATTGAAAAAGAAAGCCGGGAAATCAATTCATTCTAATAGTCAACTCATACCATTGCACAGCACAATGATCCAAATGCTAGCCAGTAATTTCCAGGGTATGCTATCATCAGTATCTTTTCGCTTTTCAATCTTACATCCAGGACAATCCTCATAATACACCTTCTTCAATAGGGGAACTTCGCGCTCATCCTCCATTTTCACCAATATAATACTGATAGTATTACCCTGCCCCAATGGTCAATACTACTTACACCTGATCAACATAAACATTTCATATCATTACGCCCATATAAAACAACATAAAACTTTCTGAACTAATTATCAACTAACAAGAAGTTAAAGAACTTTAGAACAATGTTATTATAACTATACCAGCTGAAATATTATTTTATTGGCCTCAGAAAAATGCCTTTTTTTTTTCAGTCTCAGACTTTCTCAGACATACAGTATATATAGTTTTACGTAATTTGTTAATTCGCCGTGAAAGGGCAGATGAGAAATGATCATCACATGCGTCACCTTTTTACTTTTCAGTACAAGTAATCAGAAAAACCACAAAATTGGCATTCATGTCAAATTGGCAATAATTTAAAGTGTACCTTTCGTTTTCATTTGTTTTCTTTTTGTCTCAATGAGTTTCATGCGTATGGTAATTTAACTCTTCAACATTCCAAATCTTGGCTTTGGTACTCAATCACAACTTGATTTTGCATCTCAAATTAAGTTTATACGAACTATTTATTATAATTTTGGAAAGATTAATGGGATCTGATGGGATTAATATATATCAAAGATCTCATTAATCCTTCCTAAAATATTGATGGGATCTGATGGGATTAATATCAGAAATGATCCCATCAATCTTTCTAAAAATATCATAATACACTAATGGTTTTTACCTTTGCTATGTAAATTAAAATAGCTCTAACACTTCTCTAAAGTTTCATGTCATTATATATAAAAATGCTCATGTATCCAGAGTTTTTATTTAATAAAAGGAATAGATGCCCTATATCCAAATTTTCATTAAAAGTCCACATGGCCAATCATCATGGGATTACTTCATTAGTTTTGTAAGGGTTACTTGATCAGTGTTATAGGGGTTACTTAAAGGGTTACTCAATTAGTGTTGCATGGGTTTCTTCATTAGTGTAAGCGTTATTCGATCAATGTTATAGGGATACTCGGTTAACTATTACATCGTATAGAGTACAAACAAAAAGATTAAGATGTTGTTTGGTTGCACTTTAATAATAGGAGAATTACATATTCATGGAAAATGAGTTTATGGATAGTTGTTTGGTTATCATTTAAAAGAAAATGTAGAAAGTGAAATTTTTTTTGGAAATTGAAATTCCTACAAAACATGGGAAATTAACTATTCTCCCCGCCACTTTTTGGTCACTCAAAGTTCCCATATTTATTTTTTGCTGAAATTATATTATTGCCCTCCAAAGTTTGGGAAAGTTGTAGTTAAAGCTGTTATAATACATGAGATTTACATAAAGCTAATCAAACAAAACATAGAAATTTAATTCATAGAAAATACAAATCTTGTCAAACAAACATGATCTAAATGTTTCCAAGAAATTATAACTTCCTACAATATTTAATTCGCATATACAACCAAACGAGGCATAAAAATAGGCACATTATATTATAATATTTCCTTTAATGATTAGATCTAAAAATTATTTCTACAATTACGTGGAGTGATCAAGTGAACTACTAAAGTCAATTACATAATTATTGATTCAATATTTAAAATCATTTACATCAATAATATTGATCAGTTGGTGGGGCTCGAACTTGTGATCTCAAAATCACAAAGTGAGTTGGTGAGGAAACTCACTTTGTGATTAATTGAAAATGAGTAGAAAAGCAATAGAAAATTTTCTACGTTCTCCGCATAGTATAGCAGTATTAAATGGAATTTTGACGAGTAAGCAAGATTTGTTTTCTCTCACCTACTCTTGCGGCTGCGGCAGCTAGATAGCACTTGCATAATAACTCCAATCTACGCAATTAATTTCAACATTGATGAACTCATGTACGTAAACTACCCTTGCGGCTGCGGCTGCGGCTGCGGCAGCTAGCACTTGCATAGTAACTCCAATCTACGAAGTAAATTTCAACATTGATGAACTCATGTACGTAAACTCAGATCACGGTAAATTTTTTAATATACTTGTACATTTTATATACAGAGTAGAATAAAATTTTATAATTACAGATCGTATTAATTTAATAAAAAACACAATATTCACGTACCTCAACGACGCCTACAAAATCATCTAGGCTGAGTCACCATAAAATCACCATTTTTAATTTATTTATTTACTAGAGCAGCATAAAAAAGTCAGCAATAAAGGAAAGAAAAGCGACCCACCTAAGATGAGCATCGCCATGTGAAAGAGGAATTGCCGGGAAATGACAAGGGTAGTTACTGCCCTCACTTGTGAGACAGAGAACAGAGGACTTTTTAACACGTTGTATGTTGTCGGTGGGCTAGTGTTGGAGGAGATGTGCGGTGCTTGTTGGTTGCGGTGTTGTCGGTGGGCTGGTGGTCAGGTGTTTGAGTAGGTGGCAGGGGGTTGTGCTTAAATTTTGGGACTTGTTATTCATCGCCCGCAAATCTCTACATAAAGCCCACATTTTATAATTTTTTGACAAATTTGCCCTTTTTATAATTTTAACGGAAGATAAATTTTTCGCACTAAAAAAATGTGGAGCAGCACCGGATCGCCGAGGATCACCGGAGAATCGCCGTCGTCATCGGAAAACGAGGTTCGTAACGCATCGTAAGGACGAAATGGTGGCTGGCGCCTAGCCAAAAGGCCATGCCGTGGTTGTGGCGCCTAGCCAGGACGCCGCCACCGTGGTCACGGCGCCTGGTGGAGAAGCCTCGACCATAGTAGCGGCGCGTGGCCAGGACGCCGCAGCCACGGCCAAGGCGCCTGGCCACCACGCCGCCACCATGGCGGCGGCGTCCTGACCAGGCGCCCCGGCCGTGGCTCCGGCGTCCTGGCCAGGCGCCAGTAGGGGAATATTTTTTTTTTTTTTTTTTTTTTATTTTATTTTTTAATTTAATCCCCTTTTTTTTTTTTTGTTTGTTTTTGTTAATTTAATCTTAATGTAATTATATTTATACGTTATATGTTATTGTTACAGGATTATGGTGGAGACGGAAATGATTACAGTGGGATTTTTGTACATGATGGCCTGTTCGAAGATGCTCAACAAGCGATTGATTGGGCAAAACAGGTTGCAATTAGATCAGGCTTTTGTTTAGTAGTAGCAACTCATAAATCTCAACGGGATGGTAGAATGGATCGCATTTTGAGATGCGACCGTTATCGCAAAAGAGAAGAACGAGATTTCAGTAAAGCGATTCGGTTTGACTCAAAGCGGAAAGGTTGTGGGTGTCAGTTCCGAGTTAAGGTTCGACAACATCAAAGGCGTGACGGTTGGGAAGTGAAGGGTTACGACAAATGGGGATATCACAACCATGAGCTGATAGCATACAAAGTGGGGCATCGGCAGTTAAGCGGCCTAAGTCCAGCTGCGAAACTAGTTGTAAAAGAAATGAGTGATGCTCAAGTGAAGCCCGCTAAAATATTAGCGTCTGTGTTAGAGAAATTCCCCGAAGACCAGCCAAACCGAAGACACATCTACAACGTCAGACAGAAATTGAGGTTTGAACGGTCAGAGGGAAGGAACCCTATACAGCAGCTTCTGCACCAGGCACAAGCACGTGGTTACCTTTACTGGTTTGAATCTGACGAAGACACATCGGAGGTAACTCATTTGTTCCTTGTCCATCCTGATTGTGCTGATATGATTTCGTCTTGGCCATCTGTGATTTTGATCGATTCAACGTACAAGACAAACAAGTACAAGTTCCCACTGGTTGAGATGGTTGGGATGGCTCCAACGAACCAGAACTTTCTGATTGGTTATGCAGTCATGAAGGATGAGACGGCTGCGAGTTACCGTTGGGTGTTGGAAAAGTTGAGAAACTACATCGGCCCAAATGTACAGCCATCGGCCATCGTAAGTGATTGTGAGGGAGGTCTTTTTGCCCCTATAGCGGAGCTGTTTCCGGAGTCGAGCCATTTACTGTGCACATGGCACATCAACAACTGCGTGAAAGTCAAAGCCTACAACCTTTTCAACAAGAACTTAGATTCAGCAGAGAGATTGGTAAATGGTAAGTGGCGGAAGATCCTGCAAGCTACCACGGAGGCAGAGTACGATCGAGCCTTGGAAAACTTAAAGGATGCGTACAAGTGGTGCCCGCCAATCGTAGACTATGTGATGCATCAGTGGGTACCTCAGAGGGAAAAGTTTGTCAAATATTGGACGAACCAAGTTCTTCATTTTGGGAACACTACGACATGCAGAGTCGAGAGCGCTCATAGAGCTTTGAAGGACTGGATTGATTCTTCCACGGCTGCTCTGGATACACTGTTCGAGAGAATAAACAAGGCTATTGATACTCAGAGGAACGGCATCAAGAACTATCTCGAGGACTCCAGACGACGACATGGCATGTTGTATGGCCATTTCATATTTAAGATTCTCCACGGTCGTGTGTCACACCACTGTTTGGGGTTGATTCTGAGCGAGTATACCAGGATGAGGGAGTTGGGCGATGAAGTGGCTATTCGGTGCGGATGTGCTATATCAATGACTCATGGATTACCTTGTGCATGCACCATTCACCGCGTAATTACGCAAGACAGGGCGTCGTTACATGTCGATCAGGTTCATCCATTCTGGCGGACGCTCGTTATCGGAGAGCATGCTGTTCCGCATACGGTTCACCGTGAACAAGAGGAGTTGGAGCAGTTTCAGATGATGTTTGACCAAGTGTCCTCCAGTCACCCTTCGATCATTCGTAGTGCTACACACATACTTCATGACATGTTCAATACATCGTGTTTGGATACCGAGGAACCGGAAGGGGTCGAGCGACCTAGGGGTCGACAACCACGGCGGAACAAGAGTGCGTTTGAGTACATTCGCGGTCGTGGCCGTGGCCGTGGCCGTGGTCGTACATCCTCATCAAGTGGCAGCCAATCATCGTCGTCGGTGAATATGCCCGGCACCGGTAAGACATTCGACTTCAATTTCTTTTGTTGACTATTTGATTAGTTTACTGTTGACTTGTTTATTGTGTTTATTGATGTGTGTAACAGGGAGAATGGACATTGAACATTTTCCATATAAGGACAGGATCCCTAATATCATGATGCCATTCTTGGACGGGTGGAATGATGTCATTGCAGATGGTAACTGCGGATTTCGGGTTGTGGCGGATGTGTTTCAAATGGGTGAAGACAACTACGGTTTAGTGCGGCAGTTGATGTACAGTGAAATCGCATCAAACCGAGATGTGTATGGCCATGTGTACGGCGAGGACTTGGATAGGTCTCTGCAGCGTATCCGGTGGGGAGGGGGACCTTGCGGTCAAAATCATTGGTTCGATGCGCCACTTGATCTCTTTGCCGTTGCAAACATCTACAAGTGTGCAGTCATGCATTTCGGCCTTGGTTTACATAGTCGAGCCTATTATCCATGTACAACGGTTCTGCCCTGGTGTTCGCGCGAGACCGTCACCAGACCGGTAAGGGACGTTGCTATTGGATTTCTTGGGCCGTCATACAGACATTTTATCCGATTAGACATGTCACCCGATTTTCCGGTCCCAAATATCATACCGAAGTGGTATGAAATTCGTAGAGCAAGCGTGGAGGGTTGGGATGCTTTGTACCATGCTCGCGTGCAACAGTGGAACAATTTAATTGCCATGTAGTTTTTGTTGATGTACACCTACCTTTTACTATGAGGCCTTGTATTGT